GTTCGCTGGCTCTTGGAGGGGGAGGGGGATTCCCCATCTGCTAAAGGGGGGCAAGTTGCCACATGAAGAGATTAAAACCCGAAATTGTAAAAGGTTAATAGCCCAGACCTGCCCCGACTGATGACCGGCAGCGTGCTCGGCGCGCTCGCTTTCACGCAGCAAAGCGGGTAAAAAGTTCAGCGTATGGTTAATTACATCCCTGTTCTGCAAATTGCTTAGAGAGTAAACCGGAAGAAAGCCACTAAATTTAAGTCTTTGTTGAAGGGCAGAGACTGGATCAGGGCCATCGCAGTGACACAAGGTGTTTGCAAGCCTTGCCAGCCAGACCTCAACCTTGGGGCAGAAAAATCCCTCCTGGAAGCAAAGAGCTAAACCCTCGTGAAGGTCTGCAGGGGGGCAGCAGGACCGTGCCCGGTCCCTTCGCAGGCTTGTCTGCGCCTTGATCCAGCCCATACCCACGCGCTGCTGCGGTCTGCCGTGGAGAAATCCCCCGTGCCTGCTGCCCTGGCAGAGCGCGGGTGGAGAGCAGAGAGTGCCAGTGTGGGCTCCGAGCGAGGCTCCCTGTCCGGCTGGCAGGATAATTTGGAAGGGAGAGGGCAGGGCAGGGTCCTGCTGTGGAAGGCTGAGCTGCCCCCACAAGCGCGTGTCTGCTCATGGACGGCTGACCCGTTCCTCTGCAGAGTTAACTGCCCCTACAAACGAGATCCGTTGAAATGTGTTTTCTCTTTAGCCACCGCAAATGCTGTATTTCAATTGCCAATTTTCCCTCTCTCTAGTTAGCTGTCCCTTCCTTCCCTGTTACCTGGCTAAGCTAAAATACAGATCAAATAGCAACCCACGCTACCCAGCACGGTAGGAGATGAGATGACAGGCTCAGGGTGTTATCTGCGTTCATCAGCCCCTCTGTCCCCTCTGCCTGCCCTCCTCCTCCTCCCTGCTCCTTCCAGCCTGCAGCCCCAGCACCGGGACCTCTTTTCGTCTGGGCCCGATTCAGAGGCTTAGTGGTTATGGTGAAAAGTCTGCCAGATAACGGTGTCTGGCGAAACCTTTCATCTTGTTGTCAAATAAGAGATGGGGGATTGCAGAGCTGTTTGGTTGTAACCAAGTTTTAGGTTACGTCCTTCAACGCAGGTGTGTAGGTAGGGCTCAATCCTGCAGGTTCTGGCTCATAGGGATTTTTAAGACATGGCCTTAGACATTTTTTTTGTGGGGTGAAGGGGAGAAAAAAAGGTATCAGACGATGCTGTCTAAACAGGAGAAATTTGTAACAATGTGCATCCCATGGCGAGGCATCTGCGTGGTCTGCCAGGCTTTGCTCGTTGCTGTGGTGGTCACCTGCCCGGTGACACCCGTGACATGCCAGAGCATCGCTCCTGCAGGTCCTCAGCCCTCGTGCAGAAAGGCAGGAGGGTCTTGGCAGGGGCTGGGCACCTGGTTTCTTCTGCAAGGAGACAAGCAGTGGGGTTTTTGTGACTATTTCTTTCTCCATTTTGGGGTAAGTTTGGTGCATTGAGTATCTTCTTCAAAAATAGATCTAAGAGGAGATAAAAATGTTAAAAAGTACCTGCAAGGATATTCTAGAACTCTGGAAGCTCATCTTTTTACTAGTTTTCCTCAGATCTCTAACTAGGATTTTAAAAGCACGAGTCAATCAATTGGAACAAAATTCCTGGAAAAATTAGACAACTGCCTAAATTAATTATGAAGCAAGTTTCCCTAATAGAAATAAACCTCTTCTCTTGCAACACAGCTGTAGGGCATTTTAAATTTCTCCATCGCTTGACATGTTTTGGCCAAAACCTGTTATCATTCTAAAAGATATATTGCATTGAGCTGATGCAGGAATCAAAAATCTGAGTGGTGGTACAATTTGTGTTACATTCTGGAGCTTGGTTTGGGTGCCCCTGGATGAAAACAAACAGATTTTTTTTTTTTCTCATTTCTGACCTATTTATGAAGAGATGTCTTTTAGTCAGCAACTTTCAGTGAATAGAAACCCGTGTTTGAAGCCTGTGAAGACTGGAAGTCTCTGAGTTTGTATATTTTTTTTTTTTAAATAAACAGTATCCAAGGGTGGGTTTTTTTTGGATTTTTTTTTTTTTTTTTTTTTCTCCTTTCTCCTCATACCTTTATGTGATTAAGAGGGTTTTAAGCTTCATCTCCCTCTGGACTCAAGGCTGGTGGCTTTGTCTTGTCTGGAAAGGGCATTTCAGTGTTGAACCCGCTGTGTTATTGCAGTAGATTGTAGTACATTCTCCACTGCCATACTAGCAGTTCTGGGCAGTGGATGGTGTTGTTGAGGTCTCCTTGGTCCCCACCACCTTTCCCACAACCCCATGGCACAGCAGGCTGTGCACATCAGGAACAAGAAACCTTCCTCTGCCATGAGCTCTTGCAGATTAATTCATATCAAGGGCATTTACTTGCTGTTTGGAAGTGGAAAACTGCCTTTATTAAAGCATCAGATTGGGATCTCAGAGGCTGGAGATGAATTTCTTGTTCCAACAGCCCCCAGCTTATCCCAGAGGGTCTTTGTGAATTTGGGGGACTCCCTGCTCCTGAGCATGCTCTGAGGAGAAGGGAGTTGTGTGGCTGCTCACATGCTGGGGGGAACCAAGAGCTTTAATCTGACTGCTTGGGAGCACGTCCCCACACAAACCCTGGGGGGGGGGTGGGGTGTATTTTGTGTGATGTACTGTACTGAAGGGGCTCAATTTCCCCTGAAGGTAGGAAAGTGTGATGGGGGTGAATCATCTGCAACGTGGGATTCCTCTTCTTGTGTTGTGCTGGGTGGGATCTGTGAAGGTGCAACTTGACTAGAATGCCTCCAAAATCACATCTATTCAGCCCCTCTGCCACAGTCAAAGCAGCCAAGAGTTCTGCTATATGGTAATAATGATGTTTAAAGACCCGCAAAGGATGCTGGTTTCTCTGGGTGACAGCAGAGCTGTGGCTTAAACTGCTCATCATGGCCAGGGGGGACTAGCTAGGCAAGTGTCTCAGTAATGTTTACAGGAGAGAGATGATGAGGGTGAGGATATCCACTGCCTGTCTTTTGGGGTACGACCCACCAATGTGATATCTCCAAGTTTTTGTTTTATACTCTGTGATGATTGTTGTCAAATGTGATGCTTCCCATCTTCTGGGGGTTTCTGCTATGGTCATTCTCTCATCGTTTCATGAGATCGCTGCGTCCTTCCACTGTTGTCTCATGGAGGTGACAATGGAAAGGAAGTAATAATAACACTATCTTATGGTAGCGTTTCCTTACACGAGCTGGTTTCCGTGGACCCAAGAACCTGCAGTCTTGATTTGCAGTATTGCTATTCCTGCACAGTACTTCTGGGTGGATATACTTTCGGGTCTCTCCTAGCACAGAGATGATGTCTCACTTGTGCCAACAGGAGTTACCCTGATGATCTGGAAGGAGAATCCTTGTGTTTTTCCATCCTGTATAACATACACACACACACAACTCCATCAGAAATATGACTATAAAATTACAGGGGTTTAACTGGATTTCATATCTAACTGAGCCAGATGTACACCTCTTACAATTTAGAGTCCCTTTCCCAGTTAGTGTCCAACAGGGAGCCTTTGCCATGATGTGCAGAGCGAGCAGGTGGTCCTGAGGTCAGCTGTGAAACTGCTTCATCCTCCACCCCTAATCACCCTGCCAGCAGGGGCTCTGCTTTCACTCTGTGTCACATTTGCTACCTGTCATCATTTCTGTGAGGTGAATCCTTCTGCCCTGTCTCATATAAACCACCCAAAGAGCTGGTGGTGTTCCTACAGCCTTTGTCAGCTTTGCATCCTGCCTACATCAGCAAAGATCTCTGGATCTTAGAGTTGTCAAAGCCTCTGCTCAAGCTAATTTCCTCCTGTCCCGATGGTATGTCCTTAAGACACTTTTGGGATAGGAGTAAAACCATCTAGTGAGAGAAACTTTTGATAGGACCTTTGTTACTGAGATACTCTTGTTGGTGAGCTGAGACACCCTAAAAATATAGCAGCCTTCTGCATGTGTCATGGTCTAAGTCTTCCTTCTTGGAAGGTTAAATTAAGTCATCTTGGGAGACACCTAAAAAGGTGCAACTTTATTTTTCCCTTCCACCAGAATCTCCTGCTTCACTGCCTTGTTGTCACTAAAAAAAATGGTTAGTTTGGGAAACGTTGACCTATTCAACGAAGTAATGAACGCCCTGTTATGCCCCGCTCTTAATTCTGCACGGTTGCAATTGCAGGCCCTCATACAAAAGTGGTTCGTCGCATTTTTACCAATAGCCGGGAGAGGTGGAGACAGCAGAATGTCAACGGGGCCTTTGCAGAGCTCCGCAAGCTCATCCCCACTCACCCACCCGACAAAAAACTGAGCAAGAACGAGATTTTGCGCCTGGCTATGAAATACATCAACTTCCTGGCCAAGCTGCTCAACGACCAGGAGGAAGAAGGAAACCAAAGGGGCAAGGCAAACAAAGACTCTGGAATAGTCCAGGAAGACCTCCTGCAGGACATGTTGTCCCCTAACTCTAGCTGTGGAAGTTCTTTAGACGGAGCGGCGAGCCCGGACAGCTTCACGGAGGAGCAGGAGGCCCTGGACTCGAAGCACGCGCGGAGCCTGCACCACGCCATTCTCCCCGTGGAAGGCAGCGCGCAGCGGTGATGACTTCCCGCATCGCCCCCGAAGCTCCCCGCGGGGAGGAGAGAGCCCAGCCTCCGGGTCCCCGAACTGCTGCCCGGGGGATTTGTGACTCTGCCTTTCCCCAGGGGCTCGGGCTCCCCGGCCTCCCCAGCCTGGGACACAGCGGCCGGTGCGTCGGCCGAGGACGGCACCAAACCAGGCGGACGTTCGGGATTTAGGTACGTGATCGTACAAAGAAGAAAAGCATTGAAGTCATCTTCATTGTACATACTGCTCATGACGTGACTCTGGAAGGGCAGGAGACGAGGCCAGCACCTCTCCAGTACTTAGAGGGTTTTCAGACCGTTTGACAGCCATTGCTTTTTAAACAGTTGCCTCCTTGAGACATGAAACTCCTCTTTTGCTGCCAGCCAAGGCCACCGACGCTTTCCAGCTCCATGTGGTGCTGGAGGCTGCTGGAACCTGCTGGTGCTGCAGCACTTCTCCAGCCTGGAGCATATACAACTGGTCTGAGCAGGAGCTGGGGCCACGTGTGCCTATTGTCCAAGAGCTTTTCACTGTATGTTTTTAAAGACATGAAAGAAACACCCCCAACAAAAGAACTATTAAAAGGAATAAGACTGTTTCTTTTTATATCTACTTTTTTTAAATTTTCTTTTTCTTCTGTCTTCCTTTCCTTTCTACCTAACTTTGGATAGTTTGGGGTGGTTGTATTTATGACGTGGGATTACTTCTGTTTAATGCTGTCATGCAGTATCCACTGAACGAAAAGGTACATAGATGTTTTCTGCCACCTTTCCAGTCCTTGATTCTTCTGCTGGTAATGCTCAGTGAGTGAGCTCCAAGCCTAATTTGGTATCCTGGAGTTTTCTTAACAGTTTCTGTAGGGCCAGAGATTCTCTCAAGGAAGATGAATCTCAGAATTGGTGAGGTGGAAAAAAAGTTTTTCTAGGGAAGCATCCCCTTGGACTGGGAGATTTTTAAATTCAAGAAGCAACAAAAAGGCAAAAAGAGTCCATGCATCAACAGAGTGTGTGTACATAGGGTTATAAAAGGTTTTAATGGTATGCTTTGAATTTTTTTCTTTTATTGTGTGAAAATGGTGGTGGTTCAGTTGCGCCAATGCCCACAGGCTGGGCTACAACACTGGATTTATTCTGATGTTAGGAGTGTCCTCACTTGCCCGAGGCTGGTGGGATTAACCTTCATTCCTGAGCGCTCAGATTGCTGCAAAACTAGTGGCCGTGACTGAGCCCATACTCTGACCCCTGCTGCCCCCCTGGGAGGGCGTTTGGGAAACAGAAGGACTAGGGAGCAGGAGGCTGCTGCTGCAGCGGCCAGGAGCTGAGCGCCACATTTTTCCATCACTGTTGCATCAGGGTGGTCTCTCACCCACCACCTGATGCTTGATGGACCAATTGCTGTTGGAGCAGTTGCCCCAAGCCCATCCTCTGCAGAGCTGTCAAGGCACAGAATTCTCTACCATGCTATAGTAGAACAACCCAAACACCCACACACATCCTTTGGAAGGGAAAAAGTCCTTTGGGCAGGGACATCTGCTACCGCACTCGCTCCTCTTCAAGGGTGCTAAGGTACAAGGAAACAGAGGATTTGGGTGGGTGTCTGCAAGCCCTTCCAGGCTTAATTCAGAGCCCTGCCATTTCCATCCCCTTTTGGTTTTAATGCCTTTTTGTAAATAATACGGGAGAGGCTGGTGTGTGGGTTGGCACACTGGGTGGAATTAATTGCCTGGGAAGGGGTCCTGGCCCAAGCAAGCGTTTCCAGCATGGACCCCAAATTCTCCAAAACCACCAGCCTCCTTCATCTTAAATTGGGGAACAGGAGGAAAAGTCCTTCCCAGGTCCAGGTTGCCAGTGTGTGCGTGGATTTCTAAAGGGGGTACTCACAGGGCTGGGCCAGAGGAGAGGTGCCAGTGAGTGATGGAGTGATGCTGAGGAAGAGTTTAGGGCTGCTCCTGGTGCCAGGGATAGGAGAGGTGGGTGGTGGGGGCCTCTAGGAAGGGAGGGGTTCACTGTCACACAGGTAAAGCTGTTCTTGGTCTTCAGTGTTCAAAATCACCCCAGGGTGGGGTGGGTGAGGGCTTTACCCCCTTTTTGTTAAACTATTGCAAGAAAAAAATCACCGACTCCCAGAAATTCTCCACAGTTTTGTGATTTTTTTTTTTAATCTTTTCAGTAGCTGAACAGTTGGCAAAATGGTACAACCTTGGTGGCACCCCCCCAACACCCCCACGCACACATGTGCCTGCTCGTAGCCCTCAGCAGAGCACACTCTGGGCCTCCTGGGGCATGTACAGTTGTATTTTAATTGTGATTTGAATGGTACATTTCCTCTGCCCGCCTCAGTTTTGTGATTTTTTTTTTTAATCTTTTCAGTAGCTGAACAGTTGGCAAAATGGTACAACCTTGGTGGCACCCCCCCAACACCCCCACGCACACATGTGCCTGCTCGTAGCCCTCAGCAGAGCACACTCTGGGCCTCCTGGGGCATGTACAGTTGTATTTTAATTGTGATTTGAATGGTACATTTCCTCTGCCCGCCTCTCTGGAAACAGCACTTTGGGGCAATGTCGTACCGTGTGAGTGAATCCTCCCTCACAATTTTTTGGGTTTTTTGGCCCCATCCCTTTCTCTGCCACCTTCCCCTTGGATTTCTGCATTTTTTCTGCAGAAATGAAGTAACCAGACCTGGTACCCTGAGTCTCAACCCACTGTGGATGTGCTATTTAGAAAACACATTTGTTGTAATGTGTGTGTATATATAAATATATATAT